ATACCTATTTTTTATACATTCAATTTTAAAACCCAAAGTAATTAATTTAAAAACCACTAATTAAGAATTCATAATGCATAATGCATATTATATACATACTAAGTGTCATTACTTATATTATTATACTTATTATAATAATCTATATTAAGTATAATAGATGATGTAATAGACGATGTTGTCAGATATAAGTTGTGTTGAATAATGATCAATTTACACAATTATAAATGAACTTTATATTTGTTTTTTGTGACATTAAATGATAATGTTTAAAAATAATGGTTATGCGTTTAGATTATAGAGTTTTATACTTAAATCTAATAATACATAAATCATAAGATATCCTATTTAACTCGGTTGAACAAATTATTTACCTAAGTATATTTAATTTTCCCAAAGTTTAAAATGTTTACAAAATGCACATTCACATAGAATGCAGAGAATTTTTAAATTGTTCTATCCCACATACTGCGATACTCATATCTCACTTAAAATTTTAAATACCATAAAACGCCGGATTCAAAAAACAGATTATATTTTTATTTAAAAAATTGTTAGTGGGTAAATTCACTCTAATATCAATGCAAACAAGACAAAATTAGTTCTTCTGAAGTTCTGAAAGTACATTTGCTATGATGTATACATTATTGTATATACGTTTGTAAGAAGAAGACAGTAATAACACATGCGATCTGTTAATATAATATAATATAAGTATAGCCAATTTGTGGGGGGAGGTAGGATACGGGCCCCTTGTGCCCCCTTAAATACGCCCCTGCACTAAAACATAAATGACTTGTTTCCGTTGTCCACGTACATTACTAAGTGTTTTTAATTTCTCATAATTTACAACTCAGAAATAAATGTTATGCACTGCAGAGTACCTATCCTTACTCACTGACCAAGCGTTAATATTTAATTCGGTTTAATAACAAAATCAATATTATCGTCTATGTGGAAAGTTGCAATAGGTACAAAAAAACTGTAATAAATATTAATAGCATTTTGGAAAAATCGAAGTAAAATGGGCGTAGGTTGGTCAGTCCATTCTCTTTTTACTTTAATCTCAAAAGGCTTAAATATACAAATGTTCATGTGTTTGATAAATATATATACTACAGTCATATAGAATATATATCATAGATCCCTTATCAATAGGTACATGGTACATTTAAAATTGTTTTTTTTTT